TTTTTTCGGCATTTCTGCAGATTCCGCACTTTCCGCACTTCTGCAGTTTCGGCATTTCTTCACGAACGCAAGCTATGAACGCGGCCTTAGTTGAGAGAATCGGAGAAAGTGCGAGTCGGAAAATGCGCCGGAAGTATACGGCTATCGATGGACTCTGATCGCTAGAGAGTCGAAGATAAACCCTGCGCTTGCATATGTCGGTAGTGGCGTTTATTGAGGAACCTATAGTCACTAAGTGACTCCCTAGAGAAGAAAAATGCAAAAGAAGTTGTGAAGAACACCCCAACGACCCCCTGGTAGCCTCACTGTGCGAATTGTCCGGACCTACTAGTTTTATGCCCGCAAAGAGATATATTGCAGCCTTCGGCTCATTAATCGTTTTTTCGCGTCATCTGATGCTGATACCATCAGACAGTTAAAAAAACGAAAACCATGGTGTAAAAGTACACATGTTGCAGAAAATAGCCTTCCAGTTTTGTTGAGCAGTGCAACCAGGGAGGCGTCAGAACTGCAGCTTATGAGGGCCGCCTTCGTTATTTACTGTGAGGCTGTGAAAGTGGGATAGTCTCAGAGACTGATGACCAGGCCTCATCTTTAACGAAGGACGCCTGTTACTTGACCGCGGGAACTGTCTTTGAATAAATAGGGAATGGAACCGATACGAATCCTTTCCCATTCGCTAGTGTGAACGGAGTCTTGTGTGGTATATTGTCATTGATGTCATGATATTTGTGTTGACTGCATTAGATCTGTGCCTTTCTACGATCGAGGGAAGGCTATTGTATTTTCCAACCCTAGCTCCAGCAAGTGAATTACAGGACAGCTTTTATTAGTAAATGCTAGGTAGACATTGTTTTAGTTCCACTTTATGCGTATCCTCGACTTTGAGACTTCCTTTCATGGTTTGTACGGTATGGAGTTGTGTGGTGTTGGCTGTTTTGTAGCCATGAAGTGGGCGCCCACGATCCTGGAAAAAAAATACTCCATTCCTCTGGTTGCCGGACGTTGACAGCGCTTTCAGTTGATGCCTTTTGCATTCATATTTTTGTTATTACTAATGAGCTCATGCTTGCAAAAGGCTTCTTCTTGCTCAACAACCGTATTGTAAGCTCTTGGTAATTCTATCATGATAATGTGTTTGTTGAAATTCTCTTATAAAAGGTCGTGCTATTGCAGCTCTTCGAGATGCTACAATGAGTGATGAAGCCGATATTCTGAATGACCCATCCGCCCCTTCTGACAACCGTGCTATGGAAGAAGCATTTCTGCCGTCGTCTGACTCGGAGTGCTCTTCGGATCCGGAAAACCAGGAAGTTGATGAAGTTCTTCCTTCACCGCTGGGCTCAGACGTTTCCAGTGATATTCTTGACGAAATCTCGTCTGAAACAGAGTTGGTTCTCCTTTTTTCAATTTCTCGTCCTGCATTTTCATTCCCATTCCGCAGCGCTGTTCATTATCAGAGACTATTTTGCAGGGAAGAACAGTTTGAGGTCGAACGTATTATCTCACGAACGGTGAGCAGCCTCTCTTTCTTCCTTTTAGTCTATTTTACATAAAGGCATATTCTGTGGCTGTCTGAGGAATAGGATCCTAGCGGTGTATAGGTAGCGTAGTTCAGCAGCCTCTAAAGGCAAGCTGTACACCAAGTTCTGTGGATCCTAGTCCTTGCAATGTGCAAGTCGATTAGGTCCGCAGCTGCAGTAGCGTGCCAATTCCTCCGGTCAGAAGTGCTCGGGAGCGGTGCTGGAAGTCCCATTCATAAGCAAGTGACGAGGTTCTTTCTACCTTTGTAACCCTCTTGAATTGGCAGGTCAATGCTGAAGGGAAATACGTTTATCACATCAAGTGGGTTGGATACGAAACGTCGTCTGATCCTGAGAATTTCGTTGATGAGGATGACATGGTATGTTCTGACGCCTGCCATCAATTCACCATTTCGTAAGTCATTTGAATTCATAGGAACTGATCCAAACAACTTCTGTTTATTTTAGCATTGCCCTGAATTGATCGAAAAGTTTGAACGCATGGAGCGGCTTAAGAAGAAACAACGTGCGAAAAAATTAGAAGAACAGGCAATGCTTGCGAGAAAACGAAAGATAGCAGCTGAGCAAAGAGCAAGAGAAGCGGTACTGTCATATGCTGTGTGTTTTTTATTGTTTGAAGTTCTACTTGCAGAAAGGACGAGATTGGTGTTCATAAGAAACACCCTATGTAGCAGACGTGTATTCCATTCACTTCCTAGAGCATTATTTGTGGGAACTTTGGAAATAGCGTCACCGTCAGAGTTTAAAGAGAACGGGTTAATGTTGTATCAGATCAAGGTGATGTTGGTGATGCCCTTGTATGGTTGTGACTGTTTTCTCCTATCCTCATCGATTTGTGAGCAGTGATTGGCAATCTTGCAAGGAGAGCCATTTCTGCTATCCCCTGATCACATCGGACATCCTACTGAGCCTCGCCGGCTACACCCCGCTTTTACAAGACGGCCCTATCACGTTGAGTACATCCCATCTTGTCTAGTTTGGCTATGGAAACAGACAACCTAGTCAGCGTTGGGTTACAGAGAACAGAGCCCATTGTCCAATATTGCTGTCTAATGTGGTTGTCTGTTACAAGAACGCAAGTCTGCAGAAGCTTCTCTTGTAACGCCCCATGGATGTCCGTTCCACGTGTTCTGATCTAGGATACAAGAACAGAGCCCAGTGTCCAATATTGCTGTCTAATGTGGTTGTCTGTTACAAGAACGCAAGTCTGCAGAAGCTTCTCTTGTAGCGCCCCATGGATGTCCGTTCCACGTGTTCTGACCTAGGATACAAGAACAGAGCCCAGTGTCCAATATTGCTGTCTAATGTG